GGCTTGTGAGTGTGTGTGTGAGTGTGTGTGTGTGTTTAAGATGTATGATTTATTACTCTGGAAAGATTTCCACATTAATAAATTCAACACTTAAGAAGATTTTTTTCTCATTCTTATGGCTATTAACTCTAAATGGATATTCAATCAGGAAAATACCCTAGATACATATCATATGTAAAACACTTTTTGGATTAACCAAAAAATTTTAAAAGAAAACACAAATATAGAGTAATGTGTATATTTCAAGAATAATCATGACAAGGAGACAGTGGTGCAAAATGCATGTTTGCAAGCACAGGTAGTATATTAGAGGAGCATCTTGCTGAGAGGAATGGAACATGAGGATTCAGTTATCAACAGGTCAAAAGCAGGCTGGATCCATGACGCCAACCCTGGTTTTGAAAGACTACCCTCTAGTGGAGTAAAAGAAAATGACATTATTAGATTTACTGGGGGGGGGGGGGGAATTGGCAATAGAAAGCTTTATGCCTTCTTGTTGCCTAAGGTGTTTATTGAAGTGACGTAAGCCAGTGGTTTGCAGTTATCATAGCCAGGAGACCAGGAAACCTTAAAAAATGCTAGCATTGTCCTTAATCACCAAATTTTTACATTGCAGTTCTCTGTTAAAAAATCCATAAATGCTTTATTTATTCATTTTATTCATTGGTTGGTTGATAGAAACAGGGTTTGAACTTGTAATTCTCTTGCTTCAGCATCTTGAATGCTGTTGTTTCTTCTTATTATTGTTATTTCAATAAACAAGTAAAACTAACTTTTTGATAAAAATGAGTTCAAATACAAGTGGCTTCTACTTGAACCAGTAACATTTCGATGTTAACCTGTTGCCTCATTCTTTACCAGACACTTTAGCACTCACTCAGGAAGATGTGTTCATGTGAGTAGGGAGGAAAGTGAGTTTTGGGGGTGTTGGGTTGGAGTGCTTCTACATAGAATTTAATATTTCCTAATTTTACTTTCTCCAGTTTGCGCTTGTGCTTTGAATCATTTCAATATTTGTAGGATTTATTTATACACAGAATCACATTAAAATTGTGACAATTATATCATTATTCCTTAAGCATTTTATTTTGATTGATTAGTATTGACTACATAATTGACAAATCTAGTACTCAAACCAAGTATAATGCACTCCCATATTGAAGGTTAAGTTGTGAGGGTCAGACAGATACACGATACAATTACTTTCCTTTAAAAATGAAACTAGCAATCTTATGCAATACTTAAGTTCAAACTCATTAAGAAACCAATGCGAAACATTTTAAGTTATAATTTAATTTGAATTGAATACTATTTCAAACACTCCGTTGTATTTAATAATTTTCCTGAGAAGTTGTTTTTGTACTGAGTACTATCTTTTTGAAAGTGAGGAATAGGATTACTTTTTTAATGTAGGTGCATGATAAAACCAAAGAATATTGTACTTGCTTTTATAAATGTAATATTTTAGGCATTCCACATGAGATTTTGTTGTGGGGGAGAAAATTTCTCTAGCTGTGAATGAAGAAGCTGAGAGCTGTCTTTGGCTGTGGTTTTCATCCCATTAAAAGAACATCACTTATCAGGGATGCCAGTTATCCTCTGAAATCCAGAATTTAGGTACTGCATCTATAAAGCAGTACCATACAAGGAATGTTGTGAAGGAACACAAATTTTAGGGCCTGAGAAGTCCTACAACTGTGAATGGTCATCAAACAAGAACCAAGAAGTCCTGGAATGCTGATGTTCCAGGAGATCGAGAGACTTGTCTAAATGTTATGCATGGCGGGCAGAAGAGAGCCAGGGAAGACTCGGCTCCTGAAACCTTGCTCAATCACATGACCCTATCATCTGGTGGAGACTTGATATTTCTGCAGCTTCTTCTGTTCCTTTCTTTCCATCTTCCTGCCTTCTTTATCTTCCCTTTTTTCTTTTTCACGTCTTCATTTAGAGCTTGTTCATAGTAATTCATAGCAATCACACATTACAAATCCACTATATTACGTGTGTACATTTTATATACATTGTAAATATAGCATTCCCAAATGAGTATTCAGTGTAATGAAAATGAACTGAAATAATACAAAAATTATAAATGAATAACCCTTAAAGTATGGTGAAAGAGTTCTGCCTTCATCATGAAGACATTTTAGGGTTCACCATTGATTGGTTTGGTAGATGGAGGTATTAATTTGAGACTTACTGCTATTTAATGTCCTGTGTATCTTGCTTTTAGAGAAATAGTCTGGGCAGTGAACAGCTGCAGGATCCGGGACAGACTGCTCAGCTGTGAATCCTTACCTTGGAGCTTCCTGGCTCTGTTACCCTGAGCATCATGTTAAGAAGTATCAACTCTGTTAAGTCATCTGTGAATCTCAGCTTAAGTAGCATCTTAGCATAACATTTTCCTCTTTGGATTGTTATGAGGATTAAAATAGATGATACATACTTAGAAAAGTTTATAAAGTGTAGTAAAACTGAATGTTTGACTTTTTAAAAAAAATTTATGTTATTATCATTGTAGTTACTGTCAGGAATATTAGCTGCTGCTGCTGCCCCTCCTCCTCTTCCTCCTCTTCCTCCTCTTCCTCTACCACACTATCATTATTTTGTTTCAGATTTCTCTTTTGTTTGGAATGTGCTTTCCACCTTCTACTCCAGTCCTCGACATTTACATCTACCTAAGTTGTTCCAGCTCTGATTCATTAAGAGGTAAGCTCTCTTCTTGACCCACAGTAGCACTTTTTTATTTCTCACCAAACTCACACCTTTCTGGTTTCATAATTATTTCAGTAATTTTATCTCTTTCTCCATTGACCTTGTAAGATTCTCAGAAAGGGGAGGTATATGCTTTAAGTACTTAATACAGTAAAATATAAAGAAAGCAACATCTACTAGCATACATCTGGATATGTTTTAGGAGTTATTTGATGCTTACAACATCTTCATAAAAGGCATACACTTTTATCCCCACTAGACAGTGCAGAAATGTTGACAGAAAGAACTTATTTGTCCTGTGTCCCCAAACTATTAAATAATGGAGCTAAAACTTGAACCGAGTTCTGTCTGCTTGCACAACCAATGCTTCTTCCACTGCACGAGGCAGTCAATATTCATTTGTGAAATAAATGAATGCTTGATCAATGGCTTTGCCAACCAATTCAATGTAGTCAGCAACAAGGGGTGCCAAAAATAAAATACTATTTTTAAAAAGGAATGAATTTCATGCACTAGACAGTGGATGCTTTTATATAGTTATGGTTGTTCAGTGTTGGTGACAGAATTTTTATTGCTGTCACGATTTGAGAAATAGAATTTGGAAGTGATGTAGGTGCCTAGTCAGAAATATGTGCTAATGTATTCAGAGGGCTAAACACCTGTGAATAAGCCGCTAATGATAGAAGGCTGACACTATGCTAGGAAGGTCTTTAGTGATTTTGCCCTTTGAAGGCTAATTCCGGTAGTGGATTAGTTCTCAATTAACTTCAGAACATGATTTAAGGTAAATAACATTGGTTGGTTGTTAGAATGTTGGACTACATCATGTTGGATCACAGTTCTCATTTTCTTTTTCGAAAGAGTTTTAGGATGTAGAGTTGCAGAAAAAGATGAGATCTTTATTTAACTAAAGGTCTTCTTTCCAGTAAAGGATATAACTCCGTTTGAAGAACTAAATTCACCACTCAGATTTACAGTCAAGAGCAGGAAGGTTGTCAGACATCAAGGGAACAAATTCTTGTTTCTTTGTCTTGCTCTCAAACTCCATTCTTCTTCCTTCTCTTCCTCCTTTTGTTCCCATTTAGGTTCAAAAGGTTCCTCTTCCCATCTTCTCTCTTTGCCTGTCTTAGTTTTCTCTCAGACAATTGACTTTTCTCTAGCTATGTTTGAAACACCATCATCAACGATAAAAAAGATTAAACTGCTGTTAAAATTGCTGATGTGAAGGACATGAAATATGTATTTTCTGTGTGTATGATATGATTCATATTTATAAGGTATATATATATATGCACAAGCTGATATTTCTTTACCATATCGTACATCTGTAGTTTCATCTATTCTGGAGGCTGAAGCAGGAGATTTGCTGGAGCTCAGAAGTTGGGCCCAACCTATGCAATATGGTAGGACCCTCTCTGTCTTGGTAGAGATAGGCATATCTCTAGGACTCGCTGCCAGCTAGCCATCCTACTTGGTGAGTTCCACACCAGTGAGAGGCCCTATCATACACACAAATAGGTGAACAGTACCTGAGGAATGACACCCGAGGTTGTCTTTTG